CTGGAGCCACCCCTTTTATTGGATTAAATCCTGCTAATTAGTTACAGAAGGCTGTGATACCACTAATCATGCTGGAAGAAATATGACTCTGATGCACAATTTTGTAACTAGTAAGAAGATAAACAGGATAAAGACAATTGAATGGCTTTAACTGGCAGCTACTCAGCTAGYTGTACCATCCTGTAAAAGAAGTTGCCTCTGGTGGGCAGATGCAACTATATTCAGGGATACATAAGGACATCAAACATAAAACCTCAGAGCTGTGATGCAGCACATCACTATCTTCCTACAAATGCCTGCCTGGATTCAAAGAAAAAGAGGAGAAAATAAGGTAGGGTAGGAAGGTAAATCTCTGAGTTTTCTTGAAGGGGATTCATGGACCAGTCAGAACTGCCTGGCTGGTCTTCTCTGATGCAATGCTAATGAAGTATTACAAGTATCATACATGGGTCAGGTAAACAGAGCAACGCTTTGTAACTTGTGTATCCCTCTACGTTGAAATACTTTCACCACTGTTTGTACATACTACAGATGTTGTAAAGTTTTGTTTGGGGCTTTTTCCTATCATATTAATTTTTGATTTGAGGTCCACTAGACCATGTTTGCTAGAGCTGGTTACTTTCTATAAGAATGCTGTTCATTACGTTTCACGCCATATGATATGACAACTCCCATCATCAGCTGTACTGTTGGATACACATGTTCCCTCTTTACAAATAAGAATAGACTTGGATTTTCATTGTAACAGTTAGTACTCATAGTGTTCTGGCCCACAGAATGGGCAGAACATCCTCTTCCTTACTCATTTGTAATTGCAGAAAAGATAATACCATTGTGCTTACTCTCTGTCCTTATTCACGGCAGGTTCACACAGCAAAAAGCATGGAAGGAAATTCTATCACAGTTGTGCCTCTTCCAAATAAAAGACTCTAAAAACAGGTTCCATATATACAGAAGCCATTTCTTTGCTGTCCCATTAAAAAAAAAAACACCAAAAAAACCGTCAGGTGAACACATTATATGACTTACTCATTTTAACTATTTTAACTTTTTAGGTCACAAAATCAAGTCAAAATGAGGTTCTCTAGGTGCTCCAGAGACTGTTTGGCTCCCAGAAACAAATATTTTCTTAGATGAAAAGCAGAGCACTCCCAAAAGACAAAAAATATCTTCATAGGACTAATAGCACAGTACTAAGCTATTCAATGCTGATGTTTTTCATGCACGTGTTACAAAAGAAGCCTATCAGTTGCACACTGTTAGTACTGCTAAAGCAGTAAAACCTGACAGAAATGTCTGATGCGAGATTAAACGATTGACCATTAGCAGTATTTTCCTGTCGTAAAACAATTCACTTACATTATTATTTAAATTGCTGACTTGGTATGATTAGTTTCTTTCTGTTCTAAGAGGAATCGAGCAGGGTCCAAGGACAAAATAGTGCTTAGTGCCTGCTTTCTAACCATTCTTTGATCAGAGAATTCCTCTTTTAAGATCCTAACAGAGGGAGTGGGTTTACAAGAGTTACTGCCAGACAGTATCAATACAAGCCCTCCAAGGCTGCTGTGCTAAAGCAAGCTGTCACTGGAAGTTAAAGAGACCATCCTACCAATCTATGCATTTTATAGCTTTATGGATCAAGCTACGAACCTAGAACACAAAGAAAAAAAAATACAAAAACGCCCTAGATTAATCTCATTTAAAAAGACAAAAAAAAAAAAAAAAATCCAATGGAAGGTGTATCCTCACAAAAAAAAAAAAAAAAAAAAAAAAAAAAAAAAGAAATTCCAATGGAAGGTGTATCCTCACAACAGCCTCTGGAGAAAAATGAAGAGGATGGGAAAATTAGAGTGGGAAGTCTCTTTTTCACCTTTATTTTAAATGCGGTGTCAAAGGATACCTAAACAAAGAAATTTGACTACACATAAGAGAGAAGGTAAACTTTAGACGAAGGAAGAAACTATTGGTCAGAAGAATCTCCTGTTTTGGTTTTACTGGCAGAGCTGGCTGACAATCAACTGTGTTGGACAATGAAAAACACGACAGGGAAACAGCTTCAGAGCTATGATGTGGGGATGCCTGGGAGACTGTGAATTATTTCTAAGGAGTATGGAAATGGTAATTTAAAAAGCAAGTCTTTTTCTGACACATTTATGTTTGTTATACTGTGTTATACTAAGATTAAAAATATGAAGATTGAAAATTAACAAAAATGCTGATTCTCTTCTCTCCTTATCTACCAGAAATTAGCTATCCTTGGAGAGGAGCTGGGGATGGGCTTGTAATTCCAACTAGGTTAATACTAATATTGAAATAAAAATCATTATATGCTTTTTAGGAAAGTTACACACTTCATGTAGATTGACTGTATTTTTGTTCACTGTAATGCCTTGTGTCTTACCATGTATCATGTATCTAACAGATTTTAGTACAGGATACATAAGAATGTATATAAGAATGGGACAGGACTCTTGATGTGGACAGTGTGTGTCCCTTGGAGCTGAGCAAAGAGCTGGAGCCTTCAGCTTAAAGTCTCCTGTCTTGTTGACTAGTGAAGCATGGCCAGAATGTGTGGTCTAGGTGTCACAATAGCTCTATTTACTGACACTGATAACCAACAACCTGAGAACTGTCCAGTCTGTGAAAGACACCTTGGGTTCCCTCACAGTCATGAATATTCCTGTGTCACAAGACCAAGATATAAATGTGTGCTTTAGGTTGGAAAATAAAACCAGGACTTCTTTGAAAACAGTTTGCTTTGTGGTATCCTTTCACAGGTAATGAAATAATGGGCTAATTCAGAATAATGCAAAAGATAAAGACGGGGGCTCAGTGTACTACAAAACGTTAAACTAAAGGGATGCACTTGGTATTGGGGGATTAGAAGACATAATCAGAAAGACCATTGCAGAAGTGAGAGGAGGAAGATGTCAGTCTTTTATTTGAGCACATCTACTTCTTGGGAGAAACACTCACGGCACCTTTTTACAGATGCCACAACCGTGAAGAAAAGTAAATCCTCTATCTGCTAGATTTCYACAGAGGCGTTATCTCCCGGTCCTCCATTTTCTCTAAGTGCTCTTCTTCAGTCAAGTGCCCATCTCCACATTCCATGAAGTGTTGTCTACTCACCAACCCCATGACATAATACAGTTGTACACTCAGATGGTTGCTCTCAAAACCTCTTTAAATCCTTCTGGAAACCACTGGCACAGGAAGAGAATGCACATACACAGAATTAAGCATCAACACTGATCTTTTCTCAGACTTGCATTCCTACTCCTGTTGGTTTTTTCARTCCCAATCTTTGTTTGCAGGGTCCATGTTCTTCCCCTTTCCAAACCTTTGCTGACATTCAGTCCACTGGTCATCCTTCCACAACTTAAATGTCTTCTTGTCTTTGACAAATGCACATTTTTTTGCAAAATGAGAAGTTTTAGCTTGGTTCTAAACAGCAGSAGTTTCTAATTTCTACATGTCAAAGCTGGGCTAAATATCGAGGCTAGTAGGTTAGAATCCTACCTTTGAGATACTACAGCTTTTCAGGGGACTTCTTGATTGATTGCTAAGTTTCCATGTTCCTAGAATTTTGATTGTGTCAAGGATTGTATCCCACTTTAAAAGACTCAGGGTCTCAGACCCCACAAAAGCTGAGCAGAATCCATAACAGATGTACTACTCTGCCCCAGTCATTTGGAAAACCCAATTCAACATCTGACAAGTTAAGACAGGCTCCCTGAAGGGATTCTGGGCTCTAAGTGCAGAGGTGTAGTGTACATTTCCAAAGGTACTCACTGATTTTTCTTAAGTGAATTGGTTACAGAAACCTAAAAGACCCAACTAATCTCCCAGGAAAAATCTCTAAGGGACTCTAGAAGTGGTGAGCAGTGACAGTGGTCCTTGACACTGGATCACTCCAAGAATGCATATCCCACAGTCCACTAAGAGAGGGAGACACATCTCCAGGAAAAGGTGCTTACTGGAATCTTCTACAGGAAAAGWCGAGTGTGAGGAGCTCTGTTACCTACCTATTCATACATGGACCAATAAACAGAGGCTACTTTTGGGTACCAATCCAATACTTACCTGTGTGCAGGACTTCTGATCACCTTCCTAAAAAACTTACAAGCATACCTACAAGCATACCTTAATACTGAGGAAGAAAAATTCTGTACCTAATGCACACTMTACAACCCCTACTCCTCTGCTCACATGCCATTTCCAGAGTCTGGGCTCTCCTTGCCCCCTGCTGCTTCCCCACAATGGCAAATTCACATCCTTCTGTGTCTGGGACAGCAGACAAAACCATTATGTGGAGTGCAAATATGCTCAGTTCAGCAACAGTCTAAGCCAGGCAGAGCTTTTAAGAGCCATTACTATTTTTTCATGGYATTTCAATGGTCTGTCTTTCTTCAYAGACCAATTGCTCCTGCTCTGAGCATCTATTTGGCTATTCCCACTGGGCATCTTGGTATGAGTGTGTTCAAGCTGAGTTAAAAGGGACCTGAAAGGCAGTGAATTCCAACAGTGTCCTCCTAAAGTCTGATATGTATTTCCCTAAAACTAGAAATGMCTTCTGGAACAGGGTATTAACCGTATTACCCAAATTCACCCTGTTTTAGTTTTCACTATCAATTGATGCAGTGCACAGGTGGGTTCAGGATGCAAAAAACTAACTCCTAGGATAGGTAGAAGGAATAGTGGCAGCTTTCACTTGGACCTCTCAACAAGTCCCTTGCATCAACTTTTGTGGGATTCTTTTGCTGTACCACATCTCCTAAATTAAAGGACTAAAAAGCCATCTTTCTATTGCCTCAGCTTCTCAATAGAAATTGTCTCTTTCTTAGTCAGATTCCCATCTGCTGGAAAATAGCTGACTTCCAAGGAAGCAAAGACATGCTCAGCTTGCAATTAAGCTAAGATAAATATCAAACTGAACACCTRTTGGACCCTTTAATGTGCCACATTTTCCCAGACTCTAATTTCTGGTGTTTGCTTACCTAAGACCAACTAACTCCAGTAACCAGTGAATCCGAACTTGTTCAATGCCGCCATGTGGAACAGAAGAAATGTAGGCAAGGTTCAGCTCTTGGTCTTTGCTCAGGTCAAACAGGTCAGCACGACTGTGAGGCAAAGGAGGGCTTCAGAAGAAGACAGACAGAAAAGAAACACATTGCAGTATCAAATAACAGTTCCACTGGGCATGCAACGATTCCTGTGCTACAACACTACACCTGCATGTTCCTACATGGCATGAGGAGTACAGCGTAACATGAGATGAAAGCAAAATGGAGTTGCAGGTTATTTGGAGCTAACTGGCTATTCATGTCATAAAATAGATTACAACCTGGGTGCATCTCAGTGCCATGCTCAAAGGAAAACCTTGACAGCAGTCACTGCTGCACACACAGAAATCTCAGGCAGCTGTGGACTGAGGAAACCATATAGTGACAGTTGTCTTGTCTCTCCRAAACTAATCATAAAGGAGCTCAGCGTCTTTTAGGCTTTGCAGTAGCAGTCAGACTTGCTGACGTCTGCAGTAAGAAAAATATGGGCTTRACTTCCCTGTTGAAGTTCATGCAGTGACATGAATTCTTTCTCTGCTGTGAATACTATTACACTTGTTAGAAACAAAATTGGATGCTGAGAGCCTTCACGTTCTTCAGCAGCCACGTTCAGCTCTCCTTAAGCATAAGACAGCACACGAGTGTATGGTTTGAGGTTTCCATGCTTGATTCTGGAAGCAGTTTAACAGGCTTATGGCCATACAGCAATGATCATATTGACTTTGATGTCTACTTATTATATTGAAATTAACATTACYCTGTGGCTGTTCCTATCTCTACAGATAAATACTACAAGATGGAGATCTCAGCCCCACCCTTCACAAGTTAGAAACTTAGAATGCTGCACAGTTCACTGGGTTTGGGCATAACTAAGGATTTTCATAAAGCCTCCTCATATTGTGCACATTCTGAATGATAAAGCATTTGTAWTACAATAAGGATAAAACACTGTCCCTCAGGCTTGGTAAAAACACATCCATGTATCTTCATACTGCAGCAAGAGATGACTTGTGCTTTAACTACACACTATAAATATATAAGCTGTTTCAGTCAAAACTGTTCTAGTTTATACCTTGCCTATYGTATTCTGTCTCCTGTGATGTCGATTAGACTTGTACTGACTGTAACTATGTTGGGAAGAGTCATAACATSGTTCTTGCATACTCCATACCCATCCATATTATAATCATCTAACCACTGAGATCCCACGAAATGAACCTGAACCAATGAATAAGGACAATGTCAACAATCAGACTCTAATGGAGTGCTTTAATACTACTCTGAAATTCAAACCAGCTTCTTCCGTTCAACAGGTGCCAAAAGAAAGGTGACGGAATAGTGGGTTTTGTTAGTAGTGCTATGAGTGTCTGTCCTTYCCTGTTCTGAGTGCAAAGTACCCATCCAAGAGAACTTCACGCCTTGCTCCCAGGCTCTCTCAGCTGCTGATCCACAGCTGTGCACTTGCCCAGAAAAGCAGCTTTAGCAGCTGGAACTCAGTTGTGCCACTGYGTGAGCTTTCAAGGGACTTTGAGAAATAGCAGTGTTGGCCAGGTGTTATAATGAGTAACTGCTGACCTATGAATAACCTCTGCCTCTGCTCCTCTGCCTTTCCCTCATGTGCCTTTCATGTTTGCAGCTTCCCAAGGTTTTTCACGCAATTAAAACCATGGGTGTTTAYTAGGCTGCAGTTTAAATGGGCTAAACGTACTATCCATAAGGCAGATTTTCATTAATATTTCCTAATATTGCAAGCAAAATTTAAAACAAAAACGTGAAACGAGAAAATGAAAAGGTCCTGAAAGCCCAAACATTTCATCAGAATGTATTTTAGGCCCTGTTCTGTTTTCGCCCTCATGGAAAACTAAAGAAAAATCTTGCAAGTTTTGCATTATGGCACACTTTATGAAACATATCAGAAAAAGTGCACAAATTCCTTTTTCTAAAACACATGCTGATTCCATCCCTATTGCAACACTTTTCCATAGAAATGTAATTTAACCCACTGTATGCCTAAATGAAGGAGATCATTGTAATTTTAGAGCAGGATACAAGCACGGCAGCAGAACATTCCATCTTTTGCTTTCATGCCTGCTAGAAGCCTTTAGGAACTTTACAAAACTTGAAGGCTGCTCCAACTCCAGTTAGCTGAGCAAGACTGGACCTTCTCCAAGAAGCAAAGCAGTATCACAGTACAGTGGCAGAGCTTGGATTCCTGCATTCCAGCCCTCCCCTTAACTTAGGTCAACCTGACCCACTGGCCTCATCACGAATATGGTGCATCTGGAAAATGTTTGTAAAGAAGAATGAACTCCTAGAACTATCCGTCTTTTGTCTGTTAGTACGGGAACTATCGTAAGTTTTGCCTGGGGCCCTTCAGGGGCCTTGGCAATGGAAACACTGAAAAGTAAAGGGAAATGAGTTGTTAGTACCTACTAACACATGTAYTGTGCTGGGGACGAAAAAGAATTTTACACGTTCGAGGGGGCAAGGAAGCAAGTCAGAGAGAGAAGGAATGTCGACGAGGCCTATTTTTTGGCCAGTTCATATTAACTGGCAACATCCCACATCCCGCCCTGCACTAGTGGAGCTGGTCCAGGAGCAGGCTAAGCAGCAAGGGACGGCAAGGGCCCTCTGATCCCAGAGCAGCAAGCCCGGGCGAACCTGGGTTCCTCCAGGTAGGCAGCCCTGGGRATCGAGGGGGCGGGATGCCGCCGGGGGGAGGGCCGGAGCACCTCTGCCCAGCGGCTCAGGGCCCGCGGCCGCTCGAGCGGTGCGCGCTTACCAGAAGCCAGTGCTCCTCCAAAAGTGCTGCAGGGGCCGCTCGGCTCGTCGGGCATCCACGTACACCTCGTACGCCGCGGAGCCCGCGCCCAGCGGCACCAGCAGCAGCCACAGCAGCGGCCCCATGGCGCCGCGAGGGCCGCGGGGCCGCGGAGCGGGGCCCCACCACCGCCCGCTGCCGACGCGCCAGGGCACGCCCAGGGGCCGAGAGGCCCCCGCCCCCCGGGGCCCCGAGGCCGGGCGGCCTCCTGCCCGCCGTGCTGCCCACGACCCCGCAGCGCTGTGGCCGTGCCCCGGTGCCGCCGGTTCCCGGGACYGTCCCCGCGGCGGTGCCGCCGGGCGGGCGGAGGCGGCGGGGGCTGCGCCTCTCCCGCGCCCCACACGGGGGCGGTGCGCACCGCCACGCCCGCGCTCCCTGTGCCAGGCCCGGGGGAAGGCCGCGCTGACGGGAGCGGAACCGCCCTCCTTCTCCGGAAAAGCGTAGGGGCAGGGTGGGAGTTGTGTCCGCTGGCTACGTGTAAACCCGTGTATTGATCCSGGCATGGCAAGGGGGAATGTGCGCTCTCAGCACAGAAAGCCAGCCGCATCCTGGGCTGCATCCAAAGCAGCGTGGGCAGCAGCGGAGGGAGGGGATTGTGCCCCTCTGCTCTGCTCTGCTCTGCTGAGACCCCACCTGGAACACTGCATCCGGTTCTGTGATCCGCTACAGGAAGGACGTGGACGTGTTGGAGCAGGTCCAGAGAAGGGCYGTGAAGTTTATAAGCTGTGCTCCCCTGCACAGTTAGGCTAAGAAAGTCGGGGCTGTTCAATCCCATAAAGTAACGGATACACACTGAAAGAGGGGATGTKTAGGTTAGTTACTGGGAAGAAATTTTTTACGGTGAGGGTGGTGAGACAGTGAAACAGGTTGCYCAGGAAGGCTGTGAATGCCCCAACCCTGGCACTGTTCAAAGCTGGGTTGAATAAAGCCTTGAGCAACCTGATCTAGTGGGAGGTGTCCYTGCCCATGGCAGGGGGATATTGGGACAGTTGATCTTTAGGGTCCCTAACAGCCCKTAACATTCTATGATTGCATGACTCTATGAAGCGCTCTGTAGGTGCTTTATCACACACAGCTTGTGGCTTGATTCTCTTACGTGCTTGTTTGTTGCCATGAATACCTGAGGAGTGGGTTTTCCGTGGGGTGGGACTCTCATCTTCAGTATCATTCTCATTTATCTATTGGTGTGCCTTTGGGAATGTTGGCAAGCCTTCCAGGCAGGGAATCCAGTTCTGTGCTGCCCCCGTAGCTGGGACAACAGCTGCCTTTGGGTGAGTGCAGCTGCCTGGGCTTCAGTGAGGGCTGATGGCATTATGCCAGCTGGAAAGGGTGATCCATGGGAGAAGGATCTTGCATCCATTCAAGCTGGCTTTTTTTTTTTTTTTTTTTTTTTTTTTTTTTTCCTAGCTTCCTCTCCAGGGGGATTGATTGGAGGAGATGAACACCAAATGCCATACTGTGATTTTTTTGCTCATTAACACCAACCCTGCCTCTCACTGTCTTTAAGTTTGGAGGGTTTGTTGTGGAGCACAAGATGCCAGCACCTAGCTGAGTTGTACGTGGAAGCTATCCCTTGCAGAGGAGCCAACAGCTCAGGCTCCAACCAAAGACTTAGCCACAAATTTCAGCAAAATGTTATTTGCAAGGGAGAAATCCCATGAAAACCCCATAGGTTCTACCGCAGACCATTCCTGTTGACATCAGGAAGGCTTGAGCCTTGGAGACCAAGCTGACTTTTCCTCACACACTGCTAAAACAAAACTGTTGCATTCAGCTTGGCTGATTTCAAAGTCTCATCTGGAAGACAAGGTGTCAAACCAATACTATGCTCTTTTTGGCCAGGAAGCTTGGGCTGCCCTCAGGCATGATATCAGGCATGTTGTAGAAAGTCCTGAAACACCACAAAGGCATGGATGCAGATGGGGCTCTGTTGACATTTTGGAGAAGTCTCTCTCAGAGCTCCAGAAAAGTCTCTTCCTTGGGAGTCTGATAAGAACATGACCTACAGAGTGTTTCCAAGAGGGTCATTCTCAGAAATTGGTATAAGGGCTAAAGACAATGTCCCCCTTGTTTTCTGTGACTTATCCCAAGGAGTGGGCAAGTGCTACATGTAGGCCTCCCCATTTGGGAGACAGATGATGAGCTAAAACCCCTGCTAGAGGAGAGACTCAACAAAAGTCRTCAAAACCTTCATCAGCTGCAGGTTTCTCTTCCACATCTAACAAAGCAGCCAACAAGATTTTTCAAGGTTCTTGAGAAGAATTGTGATCCCCCTCAGTTCTTCAGTAAGAGAAGAACTTGGTGCCTCCTGTCAGAAAATCCAGCAGAGTTATATGAGCCCTGTGAAGGAGCCCAATACACCTCTGTTCCCASAACATCTCAGGGCTGTTACGGGGGAGCAGCTGGGTCCATACAGCTTTTTCCCAAGGTCGTCAACTGGATCAACATGCTCCTGGCAGCATTTGCAAGCCAAATGCCAGGCTACACTGGTGAAACTCTGTGGCATGCTCTGCAATTCTCCCAAGCCTCTTCTTTGCAGAGCAGCGCAAATGTCAGGATTACCTCGGATTATCTCCAACACCCAGTTAACCGTGCTTAAAAGTCTTATCCTAAGCTAAACACAYATGCTCGAGTTTCTGTGAGTATAGGTCCGAACATGGCAGGCAGAGTCATATTAAAGAACCTGRTCTAGGGGAAGTTCCCATTTCCTTTGACGTGCTCCTCTAGGAGCTGAGAAATGTCCAGCAGCAGATTTTCTGTGTAGCATTTTACCAGGGAGGCTTTCCACAGCTGACACTCCTACCCAAAGTACACGGCCTCCTMCCACCTCCCTGCAAAGACTGAATGAGAGCTCTTCCTATCCTGAGGCATTCCTGAAGAGGCATATAGGCATGGAGAATGGATAGCAGCACTGTTTGCTGGCCCTTTGCAGTATATTGAAGCCAACCCTTCCCAGCTATCTGGCCAGCTTAAAATCCTCCAGTGTCTCAAGCTGGGCAAATGAATGATATAAAACCTGTTACTTTTGAGCTGAATCACTCCTCTGAGAAAGACTGCATAAGGCATTTGGTTCCAGCAGCAATCCCTGCAACACCCCTGCAGAAGTTTTGGGAACGTAGACATTACAGGCTCCTTCAGGCATGTCAGGGAGCTGGTAGTTTCCTGCTGTATTTTCTTTCTCTGTGAAGATGTACATGCAAAATGCACAGGGAATATGTGTGTATGTATTGGGATAGTGTGTGTGTGTGTGTGTGTGTGTGTGTGCTTTTCTGTTCAGATACCTCCAGCTCATTTAGCACTTAATTGAATTATAAATACGGTTCCAAAGGGCATCCCTGGGAGTGCCAAGATGACTTTATCCCATAGCCATCTCATGACAGAAACAAGACTTTTGTTATAGCATATGGAACTKGAAGCCTAAAATTATCTGGATGTTTTTGTAATAACTAACTACCGGTAAGGCATTCCAGGGTTTATAACAGCCTTTGCTTCTTGGATAACTTCACATTCCCACATGGTAGCAGCTGGTTTTTGGGCAGATGGACTCAGCTGAATAGTCTCAAATTTCATGTTACATCTAATCCAATTACTTCTGTCCTGGTCTTTTTCCCTTCCACTGTTTCCTTATTGCTGCTTCCCATATRTCAGGTCCAACAGGAAGGAAGCTGAGAGGAGGACAATTCATCCAGTGGACTACCTGGGAAGCATCCCTTTTTTTTTGGTTCAGTTTGTTTTCTTRTGCACAGGTTAAGCTGCAGGAACATGACTCTGTGTAGTCTGGTAGTCCACAATAGAAGAAGCACATGGACAGAGGTAGGAGAGAATTAGATCAGCCATGACTGAACTGCCTGCTGGTAGGATGGAGAAAGCATAGTATGAAATAGTGCTCCAATCTGTGCATTTCTATAGTTTCCATAGCATGGGCAGCCTTGTAAAATCTAACTCTACAAGATGCTGTTTCTTGCAGGAAGCTAGCAGTTCCTTACACTCATCTCAACCACCAAATTGCCATTGTGCTCCTAGATCTCTGCAACATACTGAAGTTATCAGACATGTATAYCTCATATCAGAGTCTTACCAGCAACACAGCGTGGATCTTAGTTCTGCTTTTCTTATGGAGGGCTGTTTTTTAAAGCTCAGTTTAGGGCAATATTGCAGCTATTGGGTTTTGTGAGCCCCAAGACTTCCTTCTTTCTCAATTAATTTCCTGCCTTTGGGATGAGTGATTGAACTGGAAGTGGCCTGTAGCTGTCTGTTGCCTTTCCCCTCAGCTGGATGGTGCTATGCTGCCTTGAGACCTACAGTACCTCTAGCCCCAGGTTTCTACCAACAGGCTGTGCAGGTTGCAGGCAGACAGAATACATGCTCTCTGGTGCTGATTGCCTGTGCTGGACTTGCTTTTCTTGCAGTGAGCAGCCCCAGACAGAAGTGGTACATCATGCAGGAGCGTGGGTACACTCCTGAGGGAGCTTGAAAGCTTGAAGGTGCCTGGGACATGTTGTCTTAGAGTTGCATGGGATTATCTGGGATTGATCAGTTGTGTAGGAGTGAACAGGGTTAGTTACTCCGTTGTGTAGGGTGGGTTGTGCCATTTCTACCCAAGGGCTTCAGATTTTTTAGTTTCTGCTTCTTTCCTAGTGAGACACCATGAATTTTTTTCCCAACTCCCACTTTTGGTCTAGATAGATAAAACTCTGACAAGTTTAGAAGTGTTTCATGTTTTTTCTGGACTGTCTGGACTTCTAAGCTAAGGTGTTCTGCACCCTGAGGAGATCAACTGCTGGTGTATAACATAGTCTGGGTGGATGCAGACAGACTCAGAGTGATGAAAATACTTCTCAGCCCTTCACAAGTGCTTTTCTCATTACTTAGTTTACCTAAGAGATGGTTAGGAGGTCTTTTTATCACCTCTGCTGAATACAACAAATTTAACAAGTATTATGTGAATGCTTCAAATTCTAGACACCATCCATCTGCATATCTTTAATATCCCAAAGCTGGCTACATCCAAGGCCAGGGTTTGACATCTCCCAGCATTTGCAATATTCTAATATCCTTGTAACTGTAATTGAATTGTAATAATTCTAATATCCTCAGTACATTTCATCCAGTGCACATCGCCTAGGGTTACTTGTTAAATGCTCTCTCATTTTTCCAGGGACGTKGGCCTTATCACCCAGGTGTCACCTTCTGTTCCACCATGATTGAACATGACTCAAGGAGGTTGTTTTGCTGCAGTTCAGCATTGTACAACTATTTTTGTCTTCAGATGTAACCTGGTACATCTAATTCTGTCATTATGACTGTTAGGCT